TACGTGAAAAAAAGGTACAAATATAACAATGATATGAACGCACGTTCATGTACAACTGAGAATAAAGTTTTCAGATCACATGTCCTGAATATTGTTTCATGAGACAATAAAAGTAAGGCTCATGAAATGAAGTGCAAATGCACTCACTTAAATATAAATCACCATTGCTACTATCAGTGGCATACACACAACCCATGGGGCTTACTCTGCGCGGGCTGGGGCCGCAACACATGGCGGCGGGCACCTGGTATGTACGCCAGTGCATGCAGATACACATACACTTAAAGGACCACTACAGAAACCCAGATCACATCAGCTCAATGAAGTGGTCTGGGTGCCAGGTCCCTCTAGTTTTAACCCTGCAGCTGAAAACATAGCAGTTTCAGAGAAACTGCTATGTTTCACTGAGGGTTAATCCAGCCTCTGGTGGCTGTCTCATTGACAGCCGCTAGAGTAGCTTCTGCGATTCTCACTGTGAAAATCACAGTGAGAAGACGTTGAACGTCCATAGGAAAGCATTGAGTAATGCTTTCCTATGGGCGGTTTGAATGCGCGCACGGCTCTTGCCACGCATGCACATTCGGAGCTGAGAGGCGGATCGGGGCGGAGAGATTCCCAGCGCCAAGGGAGTCCGGCGCTGGAGAAAGGTAAGTGCTTTAGAGACACACACACTCTCATGAACAGATGCACACATTTACTAACAGACACACACTCACTGACAGACAGACACACACTCACTCACAAAACACACACTCACTAACAGACGCACACAAACTAACACACTCAGTAACAGACACACACAGTAACACACTCACTGACACACTCTAACACTAACACACACACACTCTAATACTAACACACACACACACTAACACACACACGCACTAACACACACACACTAACACTAACATACACACACTCTAACACACACACACACACTAACACACACACTCTAACACACACACACTCACACACACACACTGTAACACACACACACTGTAACACACACACACTCACACACTCTAACACACACACCCACTCACTTTTTTTAAAAATGTAATCCCCCCAGCCTCCCTGCCTTTGGGAGAGCGGAGGGATTCTCTGGGGTCCAGTGGTGTCACCCGGCAGGCAGGCTGGCGGGCGCGCGAGGGAACACTCTCCCCTGAGTGCTTCCTGTTCAGCTCCCTCGCACGCCGCATACTGATACCGGAGCCGGAAGATGACGTAATCTCCCCCCAGGAGAAGAGGCTGGCCACAGAGGGTACATACCGGGTTGCAGGGCGGCCGGGTCCCCTGGTGGGCCGGGCCCGGTCACAGCCGCGACCCCTGCGACCCCGGTATGTACGCCACTGGCTACTATACTGAACGAAACAAAAAGCTGTTGTGACCTCAATTCCATAAAGAAATGTTAGTTGATATGCGACAAGACCTTGGTTGACAAGCGTCAAAGTAAAATAAACAGGTACACATTCCAAAAGAGAGCAGCTGGTGCATATGCTACTAGGCACCCATGGTTACCCCATCCAGGGGAGCACTGCCCCTGCCCCCGCTATTCTGGGAAATGGCCAGTCATCAAAAGATATAGTAGGTAGCTAATTACTATCTGAGCCCATCGAGCAACTGACCGTCCCCAGCTCCATACAACAAAGTTCTGATTTATGGCTTGCAACCTAGGGCAAAGTATGTTTGCCTTATTAAACTGCGATCTTCGACCCCAAGCAACCGTCTCGATTTCTGTATACAACGTAGGGGTTTGGGAGATAGAAAGAGTGCACAGGTAGCTGTTCTAAACATTCATATCAGGAATGGAAACAAGATACTTAGACTATTTGACAAAATTGGCCCGATGGTACAAAATAGATAGAACTGTTACTAAACAAGTGAAAACATCTTACATACAAGCAACAAACACAGCAGCATTCATTTTGTTCCCAGTAATTCTAAAGCCTGTTTATGGCAAGTAAAATTAAAATGTATTTTTATTTAGTTTTGCACTGTGAGTTTTACTGTCTGTGGGTGTTTCAGTTCACTCAAAAAGTACTTAATCAAGTTTTTTGCTTTAATCGATTTTTGTATGCGATTCCTTGATGTTTCCTTTTCTAGGGAATCATTATCACAAGGTTATTTACTTAAGTGAGAATTCAAAGTGAATTTCAAATTTAAGGTCGGAGTAGTTAAACTAAAAGCATAGCTGATTTAGAGAATTTTCCCAGTTCTGAGCTTAATTTGAGCTTAAATTTTAAATTCATTTCAAATTTGACATGAATTCTGACTTTACTAAATAACCTTGGGAAGCAAAGTCCAAATAGGTTATGGTGGGGAAAAATTGTGATCTGACGTCTGTGGATAATTAATACAATGTTAAACAAAAATCTGCACACCAGTCAAGCCATAAGACTTATAACCTATTTGGATTTTGCTTCCCAAGCACTACCAAGCCTCAATAAGCAAACCGGTAACCAACCTCATGCTGACGAGTTGCATTAACAACGAAACAGCTGTCCATTAATGGTTCACTGGTTTTGCATCTTTTCCTATATTGTGTTTCAAGCTGTTGTATACTGCAAACACAGATTAAAAGGAATCCATGTTTAAAATGGAATGAGGCAAAAACGTGTTTCTTTGTTAAACTAATTTGCATATGCCCACCCAGAATCCATTGCGGTTGTAACATCGCTGCAATTATGGGATTTTTCTGGGAAAAGCAAGTCTTATGGCTTGACTGGTGTGCAGATTTTTGTTTAACATTGTATTAATTATCCACAGACTAAATAACCTTGTTAGTTAAAATTGTGTATATCTTAAATAGCAGAGTTAATCCATTAATCTTCTGGTTTTGTGGTGATTAGTCAATTTGTCCTTTGAGGGCAATATAGTGATACAACTAAGTGCAGACGCAGTTATATATTGCTCAAATGGGTCTGATTTTTGTTATTTCAAAAATATTAAAAAAACATTTTTTCATCTAAATATAAATTTACAATATGATATTGGTAATTGTTATGTTTTCCTTATTCCTAAATTAAACAGTTCAACAATGAAGATGTTTGGGTGCTTACTGTATTTAATTCTGAAAATTTATTTTTACAATTTAAAAAAAATATATATTTAATCTCATTATAAATTAGGGATGGGGCAAAGTCTTAATATCTTACATTTAACAATATGTATTCCAATGGCAAAATATTTGCAAAGGCAAGTGTATTTTCTTTTTTTATTGTTTGTTTCTTTTTTAATGTGACATTTTAGCCAATATTTTAAAAATCAGTGATGCGCTGTAAATATAAATACTTCGCAAATATTCTTTATTGACCTTTTATAGTCAGAGCAGATAATCTGTACAGCATAAATATATATACCATTTAAATATAAGAATCACACTCACAGAGCTCCTTCACATTGACCGGGTTTTAAACAGCACCAAATGAGAGAGCATGTATACCATGCAGGGTATTTTGCCACCCAATGTTTCCTTTCTTCCACATTTCAAAGAGGAAAACTTGGAGAGACCAGGAACCCAATCTCCACTTAGGGTAACTTACAACAATACTAAACAAGGCACGCTGGCCCTGATGCATACAGTCTCTTCCGGGTTCCAGAACTCCCATTCAAATGGGGATTCTTGATCTGCCTCTTCGTGGCATGCAACGTGACGCGTTTCACCCACCTCATTCGCTAGCATTTAAACCCTTTGGATGAAGTGTTTCTAGTTTAAATATCCACCTCTTCTCTTACTGTGCCAGTTTTCTATCGAAGTCACCCCCTCCAGTTCCTATAAACTCATTCTGCTCCTACAAATTGCAATTCTTTAGGATCCCCATTATGTTTGTGCAAAGATAGGAGATGCACCACAAAACCTCTTCTAATGTTTAGATATGTTCCTCTATACGGGTATGCATTTAATCACCTAATCACTTGTTTCTTTGCTGCTTTTGCCATGCAAGCCAAGTAATAACCACATTTAAAAAAAAAACTTGTGTCATTGCATACAAAAATTTTTTTTTAAAATCTTACTCCAATTTTTAAGACTACTGGATTAAATGTGATTTTATACTAGGTGCTCTCCTATATGCATTCCTGGGATGAACTAACACTTCTCTATAATGTTTTTTAATATTTTACTTCTCCCAGAATAATAAAAAAATACAAGCTACTTCATCTCCACTCATCTACATTTTCTTATCATATCTATTTTCTTTTTCCTTTAAAAGACTTTCCCTATCTAACTGATAGACATCACCATAGGCCCTTTTTAGTCTAAAGTCATCATGATGTTGTTCTTTAATTTAATTTAAATGTTTTTGCCTGTTCTTCATATACAGACCTTTCTGTACAAGTTCTGCTGATTCTCATTAGTTACACCTTGGTAATATTGTTCAACCATGGGTCATAGTGAGAACTGTCATATAAAATAAAACCATTAACATGTACTTTCATATAAAAAAAAGTACTCATATGAATAAGATCAAGTGTATAAATATTTAAATCCAAAAAGTTAACTTTCTTGTCACTGTGGTCCATAGTCAACTTAAAGTGAACCTGTTATGAATAATTTCACTTATCTGAAATTGCTCCCATATACATTGAATACACAATATATCACAAATATACATGGTGTATTCAATGTAAAATATATAGATTTACTTATATAAATATGAGCTTGTTATGGTTTATTTACTATTTCTGAGTACATATACATGCAGACTATATTTTGTGAAATCAAACACCCCAACTGTTTTTGACTTTTTATTTTACAGATATCTCTTAACCCCTGCATATAGGATTGCAAGCTTATAGTTGATAAGGGGTTAATCGATCATAAAATCACATTAAGCAGAGGGGGGGGGGAGGGGCAGAGCCTGGGACTGAACCCGACCAGATGCCATCTCTGTTGGCTCCCGCCTGTAATAAGCATTAACCGCAATAAAACTCGAAAACGAATCGAAACACATCCACGCCACAACCACTCACCGACTCGGGGCACCGAGGGGAACAGGCGGATGCCCTTCTTCCAACCCCCAAAGACCGGGAAGGCCAGACGCAAAATCAAGGCCTACTATCAGCCGACCCTCCGCTCCCTGGAGACACTCCTCGGAGATTACCGGGAATATTGCGACACGAGAGCCGAGGGGGAGAACATCGCAGCAACCGCGGAAACCCCTATAACCATGAAACGCCGCACGCAGAAAGGCCAGCAGAACTCGCCGGCGGAGCAGCGCGATGTCGGGGAGATGCTGTGACGCCAGACACAACCCAAGATGGCCGCGGAAGAGGCCCCCTCCGCGCCTATGCGGCCTGCCCAGCCGGCCCAAGCTCCGGCAAAGCAAACAGAGGGGCCGCTAAGTAATACACTCCCAGCCCTCACAGAAATGGGGGAACACAACTTAGCCACCAAACAAGACCTCCAACGCTGGATGCATGAGCTCCAAGACCTAATAGTCAAAGATATAGGCACTATAAAAGCGGAGGTGCGCCAAATTACGGGCAGGGTACACGCAGTGGAGGAGAGTGTTGCGACAATAGGCAACAAGATGACTCACCTTAAAGAAACGCTGTACACAATGCAAACAGCTCATCAGGCGCTAGCGGTGCAGGTCTCCACCCAAGGGGACCGCCTGCGTCGTAATCACATCAAGCTCCGAGGGGTGCCCGCGGCGATCACACAGGCCGAACAGCCTCATTTCCTAAGGAGGCTCCTGGCCACAATCCTGCCACCAGCAGCTGCCAGGAAAATCACACTGGAGTGCTCATACCGACTGCCAATGGGACCCAAATCACCACTCACAGAAGCACGAGACATCATCCTATGCTGCGCCACGACACAGGATAGAATCACTATAATGAATGCGGTGAAAGGCAAGACACCCCTGGCATTTGAGAATGCACAACTGCTCTTCTTCCAAGACCTGACAAGAGCAACACTGCAATGGCGAAAAACAATGTACAACCTCACCAGCTGCCTGAGACAAGCGGGAATACAATACCGCGGGGGGGCACCCAGGATCATAAAGTTCACCCACAAAGGCAACACATATAGAGCCACGTCGGAGACTGTAATCCCTGCAATTTTAACCTCACTGGGCCTCATGGACTTACACAAGAACGGAGCCACGAATGCCTCGTCCCCAGTGGGAGATCCTGCCACAACGAACTCATTCACACCTCGACCCCAAGGAAGCACAAATAGAACTTTTTGACGGGAACTGTACTACTCTGCCGGCCACAGCAGACACAGCTCCATTCGATTTGGAAATAGAAGGAAGACGCCGATAGGTTCACTATGTTAGAAGATACATCTGTTTCTTTAATGTTTTTTTTTACATGCCTTTATTTGCTTCTGTTGATGCATGCTCTCATACTTTGAGGCACTGTCGGGTTCACCAGCCAACACATGGCCCACTCCATGACAATCCCCCCCCGCTGCCCCCTGAGTTAGGGGCACTCACCATCACGCAACAGAACCCAAGCATACCGCGAAAATATTTTCTTTTTCTTTTTTTTAACACAGAGCAGCGACCCTTAGCTCTCTAAAGGCACATATAGGTAAAAGCCGCCCACCTCGCAACACACACCACAACAGCCAAGCGTAACCGCGCAACACACCAGGAGGCACAAAACAGCCCAGGGATGACTTAACAGCGCAGGCAACAACTCGGAATAACAGAAAGGTATCGCACGCTGACAGCCGCACCAAAACTGTAACGCAACTTGTTTAAAAAATTACAAAAAATATGTTTGCAAACCAAGTGACAAGTCAAATAACCAGTTTTATACTGTATACTGTATACTAAACCTCATTTTTGTCATTGTCATTGCAATGTTGACTTACATCTTTAAAATAAAGAATAAAAAAAAAAAAATCACATTAAGCTAGAATTAACCCTTGATTTGTTTGTCTTGTCATTGTAAAATAATCAGGTACCAACAGTATTTAATGCATAAAAATCTGAGTATTTTTTTCTATCCCTAGGGAAAAGAAAATACCTTTTACATGAACATAATGAATAACCAGCTGGCAGGTTAGTGTTAACAAACCACGTGACCCTGTATCAGCCTTTGTTGTTAAAGTCAATCCATTGTTCAGGTTAATCTCACGGACAAACAGGTAGACAGAAACTTGTGCCTACCTTTGAGACACTGAAATCCAGACCACATAGGAAGCCTCCGTTTTGGATTGCAGTTCAGCTTAGCAGGAGGAGTGACTGTCTAATAAAGTTTATCAGGCTCCCTTATCACAGAATTGTAATCACTGCTTGGCTTGTAGATATGACGTAAGAGATAGTTTCAGAGTATTTGAACACCAGTATAAGAGCATTAAAAACACATAATGACATTTTAAGTATTTTTTTGATGTCTTCTGGATTCCTTACCTGTAGCGATAGTTAAGTCTTTATTTGAATTCAACATTTGCTGTTATATCACAAATAATCTGCCTGATGATATGCCAGTCTCTGTATTTTATTTATTAAAGACATCAGCCAGCAGACAGATTAACAGTGAGACAAGTGCATCCAATGCCTGATAGTCTAAGTCATGTGTATCTGAATTCTCAGATAGAACAGAAAACAATGAGGCCGCAAGAAAATACCAGATACCTAGTAGTTACCCAGAACCCATTATTGTATTTAATCATACAATGCCAAGTTGTGTTTTCTAATAGAAAACCCAATACACTTTATAGTTCAATACTGAGATACATTCATAGTAAGAATTCAGCAGTCATAATTAGTGATGTCCCGAACGGTTCGCCGAACGGTTCGCCGAACGGTTCGCGAACGGTTCGGGACATCACTAGTCATAATACATTTTATTAGAATTGTTCATTTCAGACAAAAGTATAATATGGAACTCACAGGGCCCAGTGGAAATCGATTCAGACAAGACAAGACAAGACACACAGGTCTCCATAGTTACAAATGTTTCATAGATTGAAAAATAGATATAACATTTAAAATACACCTTACTGGGTTTCGTATTGAATGATGCATTTTAATTTAGTACAATAATGTTCTTGTGACTTCTTTTCTGTTCACCATGGAATCAAGTCTGCTGAAGTCAACTGGAAAGTAAATATACGATGAAGGGTTATGCCAGTCCCAATTGTCACAAACCAGTTTCTATTTACAATGTCCTATTGAGCATTACTGATATAACCCCCCTCCCCTTAGAACCTATAAAAAAGGTTTAAAACACAGCTGGAATCCAGCACCGGGTGAAGCTTCCAGTGCTGATCTACACACGCTGTTCAACATCATCCTTGCACTCACACAGTTCAATCATAGGCTTGTCATAGTGAAGAAAAAAGAGGCATGGAACAGCGCTATCCAAACTGATCACAACAGGGAGGGGGAGGTTGCACACCTGAGAGGAAGGGTAATCCTCAAAACCCTTCAAAGGACTGGAAAAACAGAAAACAACAAGTACAGGGTGCACCAAGAACAAAGTGAATAAATAATAATTGATGTACACTTATGGCAAAACGCGTTGTGTTTTAACCCAAATAAAAGTATTTTTTCTGACTACCTAATATTTTGGTTAGTTTCTTTAATTTTAAATACTTTTATATGTATACTTATTTTTTTAACTGGCATATCCTAACATCTGAAGCTTTCATACCATCCAAAGAATCCATGGTGGGGATTGTTCCACCCAGGCGCTTTACACAGAGCCGTTTGTCTGCTCTGTAAATTGTAAGTACATCTATTTTATCCAGCACTTTTTTAATATAGAGAGCACTATGGGCCTTCTCTTGTGTTTTTATTTCATATGACCTACACTGAAAATATTGTCAGAGGAATATCCTACATGTGGGGAGTTTAAATACCACTGTATGCTGTTTTCACTTGAGCTAGTTATAGCTCCAATAAATGTAAGTTGGCATTTTTTAACCTCAGTGTTTTTCTGTGTCCATACTCCTTTAAGTTACTGCACCATTGGTCCCCTCTGTGTGTTTTTTCGTTCATATTTGCTGATGAGGATTTGACCGAAGACATCTTGAGAATTTCTGAAGAATATACCTGTGATTTAGAGACTTTAATTTGCCTGTTTCCCTTGTATTTTTTTCTATTATTTATTTTATTTATTCACTTTGTTCTTGGCGCACCCTGTACTTGTTGTTTTCTGTTTTTCTTGTCCTAGTGAAGCCTTTGATTGGACCGTTTTGCGGGCTTGGAGTGCATGTGCACACTCTTAGCCGGCGAGGGGGTCGAGTGGGGAGGGATTTTAAACTTTATTTTAAAATACTCTGTCTATTTAATGGACAGAGGCATGAGATACCACACAGAAGGAAGGAGAGAGCAAGCAAACGACAGCTGTAAATCTTTGCACAGTATTGAAATTTGGCAGTCCAGAACAAAGTTCCTAAGTCACATGTGTTTGGCGTGTAACTAGCCCCAGCACAGAAGTACAAATATATTTTAATGTGCAGCATTTCAAGCATACATACTCCTACCACCATGACCACTTCAAATCACTAATGTGATCATGGTGGTTGAAGTAACCCTTTAAGACCATTAAAATTATGTTACAATCAAAATGTCTAAAAAAGATACATTAATATTTTAACTTATTTTAATATTTGTCCTGTGGCATGTGTGAAAAGCCTGGTTAATGAAGAAATCCCCCTCGATATCATACCCTCTCCCCTCCTCGCTAGCCTTCTTTTTTATCTTAACCCACCACCCAAAGTTATCAACAAGGCAACTAGGGAGCAGTTCGTCATAGAGGGCTCATTAGTGACCAGCATTATGGACTCATCAAAGGATTATAGTATTGTAATGTAATCACCAAACATATGGTTTTACTATTGGGATAGTCACATGCTATAAACCTACATGTAACAGCACAACCATACTATGATGATGGTCTCCCAGCTCTGATATTCTCATGTTTAATATGTATGCCTTGTGTTTTGAAACCTCAAAAAGGATGATAGATGAAAAAAATAAAATCCCCCAAGATAATCTAGTTGGAGGATGAGACGGGTAAAATCCCCCCAGTCATAGGTGTGTTGCTTTTAAAGCAATATGTTTGCTGTTCAAGAAACATAAGAAAAACATAACATATTTTTAAAGAGTTGGTTAAATTCTATGCATGGCTTGTAACACAATTACGTATCAGTAAAAAGATGAAACATATCAGTGGAAAGACCGAGACATTACATATTTTTACATATTAAAAGGTGAGCTCAGGTTAATTATATATGTCTATATATCATTCAGCCAATAGCCCAGTTATAATG